CTTGTCATCGTGGCCTTGCGTCGTCACGTTGGCAGGTGAAGACAAACAACACAAGCCCATCGCTGCCAACTTGTTCAACTTGTTCCTTGGTTAGGCGAGTCAGCGAAAATAGCAAGCCTGGCCATGGCAATATCAGGCACGCAAATTGCCAGGCATAGATGAGTCCAGTCAAGAAATTGCTAGGTCAGATCAGGTCAGGTCAGGGTCAGTCACACACACACATAATAAACGAACAGCTCCGACGAGAGGAGAGGGGAGTACAACTCACCGCGTCTGAAGTGAGCAAAGCAGTGAACCGAAGCCAACAAAGCAGCATTGAGCGGAGGGTGAAAGGTCGGGGACCATCGACCAGCAAGCACCAAGCAATGTACATGTAAGCTGTCGCTCACACAGGGTAGGATTGACAGGCGCACATGACGCCTGGCCGCATGGGACGCTGATGGAATTGAGCAGAGTGGAAAATGGGAGAATCCCATGGCGTCATAGGATGCGCCGGACCTTGGAAATCCATGTCTCTGATTCTGCATTCCCAGGTGCTTGCTTCTCTTGGCCCTGTACTTATCCACAAGCTTCTAGGCCAGCAAAGCAGTTCAAAGTCAGGTTCATCTGATCAGGGCAAGCAAGTCATTTCATCTAGGTCCGTACGTGCAGTATGATTCACAGACAGACGGGGGTTTTTTTTTTTTTTCAACTCTTTTCAAATTTTCGAGAGACTTTCAATACACCAGACACCTCATTCCATTGCTACCGATACCTTACCTACCCCAACGAGCTGGTGGCTCCACGGAGGTCCCCTCGGATCTCACTGGTCCTTTCTACCCGAGTCTCGTGCGCCGCAATGACGTAGCCAGCTTGTACTCGTTGTTGCTCGTGCGCTCGGGCCATTTTTTAGCCACTGAGCAAAACTGCCCCCAGGTACCCGCGTCCCGAAGCTGACACCTACGTACGTCTGTCAGCGGACGCCTGTGAACCTTAAGCTGCTAAATTTGGGTTTCATCGTTCGCTCAAGCACATCCCGCCCCCAGAACCCAGGCAGTCTCCTTAATATGTACCGGAAGACGCGACATCACCTTTGGACACTGGCATTAGGGCCGGAACTGAAACCCCCATTCATCATGTCCTCTCCTGTCTGCCCCCTTTTCAAAGCCGGTTGACAGCCAGGTCCGCCAGGGTCCTGTGGCTTCTTGAACCGGACTCCACGGCACCAACATGCTGTCTACGGTACGTGCCACGGCCACTATAGGCCCCCCCCCTCCCCAACCCCATCTACCCCACCCTGCCTGTAGATGATTTGGTCTTGCATCTCACATGCTCAGGGCTGCCACACTGATCTTCAGGTTCTAGACCCATGTCGACCGCTTGATCAGCGCTGATGCCGCCAAAAACAGCTCACATTGTACGCCCACTTTGCCAGCTATCCATAAGTCGCTACTCCTGATGCGAACTCTTGTCAGAACAGAACAGCTGCTTTATTACCCCCCTCTCATCTGGTGGTGACTGGCCACATCTGGCAGCAAATGACCCGACACACCGAGGTAACGATTCAGGGTTGGTGTACGTGGGAGTGTTGGATGTTTTCTGGGGTGCATCCCGGTTCCTGTCAGCCATCATCTCAACGTCACAAACCGATCACCAGTAAACCTTCCAGCCGGGTGCTGCCGCTGGCTTTGATGCCTTGAGAAGAGACCACCTGGGTCATCCTAGGTTTTAACCCCTGCTACGAAATGCGTCTCACGGTCTTGAACACAGTCCGAGCCGCGCACGAGGCCAGGCTCGCGGCCGTTTGTTTCGAGACGAGCTCCCTGCCTTTCCATGGCCGGTCGCCCAGATGTGCCGGCGAGTCAGTGCCGTTAGGAGACCAGTGACTGGGCCACGAGTGACGGCTCATACCGAGAAGAGTTAGCAGCTCACTTGCTTCTTCGCCTAAGGTGTCACCCCAGCTGAGCGCTTGACATATTTTTCTTTCCATCTTTGACGTCAAAGAACGGCGCTCGATCTATTATGGAAACGCTTGACGGCAGTGAAGGACTGCCAGCTATTCCTAAACCGCTAGGTTTGTCTTCATGGTAGCGATGTTCTGGAAACACATCTTGTGTTAGCGTGTTGCAGGGTGCCGGACTCGTAGTCCGTCGGACGGAACTTCTGTCTGGCAGGTTGCGCTGTCGAACCCGCCGTTGATGGCGCTGTGCCCGAACAACAATAGCTGCCCCATAAGCTCCGTGCCAAACAAAGAATGCGTTGATCCAGAGCCAAGCGGCTCACAACCGCCGTTTCGAGTCGCGAAGGGAAGCTGTGGTCGTCATTGACTCAGGTCAGGTCTTTGAACTCCACGCGCGGGGCGGCACGGTCTCGCTGCACCACCTGACCCCCGCTGCGAGGTCGTTGCGGGTCTGGCGACCGAGATACGCGTGGAACACGCAATGCGCTACCAGCGGTGAGGCATGCCGGCCAGAGTTGAACCGATCTAGCATCTTGACGGACGAACCGAGAATTTACTTGCATTACAAGCAAGCCCCTTGCCATGCATGTACAGTCAGCAGGAGGAATCATGAGCACGTACCGCAAAGCAGGACTCAGCCTTATTTATTCATGCAAGCAAGAAGCGACCCAGGATGGCGTCTGGCGCGAGTCATCGCAGCGGTTCAGAAGCAGGCCGTTTGTGTAACAAACGATTCACTCAAACATCTTCATCACGCTAGAAGGTAATTAGAGCGTCTGTAGCAAGTTAAGCTCGAGTGACGTGGATTCAATCCAGGATCGGAAGGGCCGGCTCATCAAAGTCAACAGCGAGGCAGAGGGACCAGAAGGGAACTCACGAGTGTGATGCGCTATAGACCACTTCACTCAAGGGAACTGACGTCTGCCATCTGACAAACCACAATTGCAAGATCAGGCGTCGGGGAATCTGCCATTCTGTTCTCCATTGCTGACAACGCCTTCACGCTCATCTGTTCCGTGTTAAATGCACGTGATCTTGCATCTTAACGGAAACGACCGATGAGATCCCCGGACGCCAGATCAGAGTGGATGTCGACAGATGGGGCAAGCATGACACCACAGGACCTCTCTACAGGAGGTAGGCCTAGTAGTTCTGTCGCACAGTTAAGCTTCCCAGTATCAACTCCCCCTCCACCCGCTTGGAGCGGGTTACAAGTGATTCGAGACAAGCAGGGAGTCACACCGTCCTTTGGAATCCACGTTGCTGGGCGGGCGAACAGAAAAAGTGCTGAAGGCCCCGAAGTATTCGTTATCTGGTGTTTGAACGAGCAGCATTCCTCTTTCTTATTCTTACCAGATGGTAGTAGCAACTGCCTGGGTTGCCCTGCTGCCCTGCTGCCCTGCTGCTTCCAGGGACATTTCAGGGCGGCGGGCTAGCGTTGTCACAGCGCATGGCGCGATGGGTACGGTGTGTCTGTCTGTCTGTCTGTCTGTCTCCGTAAGCAGACTGAGCAGACAGATGGATGGCAGGTGCAGTCCGCATCCAGGGAACTGGAAGCTTCCGTCATTCCTTCCTTCGCTCCCGTCCCACACCAACCAGCATACCCATCCCCCAGCCTCCACTTCTTCACAATTGGTGTCTGAATCACCCCTCGACACCCGATCACCGTTGCAGCCAACCTTCGTTTCCACTTCGCATCTTCCTTACCCTTATGCCGACCCTGTCAGAACCCCATTCTGACTGCGAGCCTGGCTGTTGACGACTTATTCTCCCAATATTCATTTGGTCACTCGCTTTGAAATCATCTATTTCGGTGCGGATCGGGTGCATCTCTCGTTTGCCCGACGATCCTCACCGAGTCCCCTTGTTGTTCGGCCCCAGTCCGTCCACGACGACCATCGCAGCCAGGGTAAACATACAGACCTATACGCACAGATCGGAGGAAAGTCCGCACTGTTACTTCTCCCAAACTCAACCTCGTCTACCCGTTGGAATAAGTTCTCGCGCTCGTCACAGAAAGATAGCCTGGACGCCTCCAAACCTCTCTGAAACAGCCCGGGCGAAGGTGCTGCCTCGACACTTCCGACATCTTCGATACCTTCGACAGCCTCCCTGCTCTGGCCAACATGTCCACGTCCGATCGTGTTGACCCCGACTACACCATGGAGGAGCCACTCGTACCTCCTGAGCCCCTCTCTGACGAAGAAGCAGCAAGCGAAGTCAACGTCAACAACATAAACCTGACCATGCCACCAATCTCTGACGACGATGTCGACAACGATGATGCCGTCGGACACATCCACGCACCACCGCCAAGAATTGCCGCGCGTTTCTACCGCCCAACTCAGACCCGTCGCAAAGACTCGGCGGCATCCTCACGGCGGAACTCCATATCCTCCGCCCATTCGCGATGTTCGTCCGCCCACAATTACACCCGCCGCAACAGCGACGGCCACCAAAGCAAACTGATTGCCCAACATCTGCGGCGCACGTCGTTCCTCGAAGACCGCAAGGCCCGGCTCGCGGATCGTGCAGCCCACGCCGAGAAGGTGCGCATTCGAGCGGCCCTGGCCAAGGCAACGCCGAGAGGCACTTCCTCATCAGAAGAACGCGCTCTCGCTGCTCAACAAGCGCGAGAGAAGAAGCTTGCCGAAATCGTGGCCTCGTGCGCCGAGGATGTCAAGAAGGCGAGGGCAGTCGCCGAGAGCATGAAAGAGAAGCGAGAGACCGAGCTGGCTCGTGTCAAGGCACGGATGGAAGAGCGCATGGCCGAAGCCGATCGCAGGCGAGAGGAGCTGAAGAACCGCTCGGCCAGCAAACGCTTCCGAGGTCAGAGCTTGACGAACAAGAAGACCTCTCTGGACGTGCTCCCCGAAGACAACGACGACAAGGATAGTGGCGAGTTCCCGCCCTCTTCGCCGCCATCATCGGCGAAGCGTGTCAAAGCAAAGCAAGGTCCTTTGTATACCGAAGACGAGGCAGCAGGAAAGCTTCAATGGTGGTGGCGGGCAGTGCAAAGGAAACGTGCAGTCGGCGAGTTTGCCGAGTTAGGCCTTACGGTTGACGGGATCCGCGACACCACTTTCGACAGCGTCGTCGATCTGCTCGGCCAAGAAAGAGTTCTTCTGCGGACAGCTCGCATTCTGCGCATCTGTGGTTTGCAGGAGGGTCAACCGGGCTCTGTTGGCGAGATGGCAGCGGTCCGCACGTTCCTCAGCGCCTTCATCATCTTGGGCCATCCGGCTCAGGTCCTGAGCAACAAGGATGGCGCAGCACAGCAGGAGCAGGTTGGAGCACAGTTGCCTCAACCTATGCCTCACGATGATCTTGCTAATCCGCAATTACAGGATCTCGTATCGAAAGCAAGGGATTTACTCATCTGCTTTGAAAATGTTTTTTCTCGCCTCACTGCGAGTAACAACTACACGGCCCCAGCTAAGCTGCGACAGGGCGTCTCTGAAGAGTACGCCACGTTCCATAACGCCTTCATTGCTTGGAAGTCGCGTGACTCGGACTCGCTCGTGCAGGTCATGCTACTCCAGTTTGTCGAGCTGGACATGATTTGGCAGACGGTCAAAGATAGCACCGACGATGCTTCCGCGGAGCCGTATCGTGAGAGCATCAAAGACAATCAAGTCAAACTGATTGTGCGGATTAAGAAGCTAGCTGGCCAGGAAAGGGGCAAGAAGATGATCGCCGATGCCGTGCGCCAGGCGCGCAAGGCTCGCGCGGCCAACAAACCCACTGCTGACATGAAGCCACGCGTCTCGGACAGCGCCGAGGGCTCTGCTACCGCCGCGAGTCTCGTCTCTTCGGGAGATCAGACGGTCACACCGCCAGCGACACCGCTGAAAGCCTCTACGAAAGCTCAACCTCCACTGCCCATTGTGCTGGCGCCTGGTTTGAGCGGACTTTTGCCGCAGAACCGTGTTGTGGTTCACGAACTGGCTATCAACCGAGAGTACCGGATTCCCGCCGATGAATATTGCGAGCACAGGGCGACCTTTCAGCAACCACTTTTTGAGGGCATGAGGGCCGAGCTTCACTCCAACGAGTCGGAGGCTGGCTTCATGTACTTTGCGACAATGATGCGGTACTTCAAAGAGTCACTTCAACGACTGGTACGGCCAGGCGCGTTCATGCACAAGACAATCGGCGAGGTCCTCGACGTTGAGCTTGCAGAGCAGCAATTCCAGATGGGAAGCTTTTCCTATGAGAAATTCTTCACAGCGGTTTCTTCTCTGTTACCCAAGCTCTGCGCACCTTATCGTGACGATGAGTGCAAGGACCTTGTGACAAACAAACTGCATCAGGGCACCTTGGTGGATCGAGTAGAGGCGCTGACAGGCTTCATCGACGTGATGTTGTGCGACTACGTCAATTATATGTTATCGACGGCAGCCCCGCAACTCATTGAGTCTGGACCGCAGTACGAAGCCAAGAAATTTGATGAAGCCCTGGAAAAGGGCCATCACAAGCTGACGGCAGCCGTTGAAGCGTGGCGTTCGGCACGCCTCAGGGTGCTCGCGGAAGCGAGCAAACGCGACCCTGAAGGCATCAACCACGCCAAGAACAGGCCAACGGCCGACAAGTTTTACGCACAGATGATGGTCGATCTCTTCACGCAAGCGCTGCCCATTCGAGAGGAGACGGTGCCGGAAATGCTCCTCTTGGACTACAAGAGGATGCAGAGACTGTCACTGGCGTCACAGAGGATTGTCACTGCCGCAGCCATTCTTCTTCAGTGCAAGAACATACTCAAACGGGACGTGCGTTCGCCGTGGAAAGCGGAAGCGGCTCGCATCATGCTGGTGCTCGAAGCGAAGCACGACAAGATGGAGACGACGGTGCACGGCGTCATGGTGGCACTCGAGGCAGGACGGACGATGCCGGCGGCTACCAAGACACATCTACGGGCGCTTGTTACCAAGGTCGTCCAGGCAAGCCAGGAATCGATCTTGAATGGGGCCGAACCGCAGGAACCAGTGTTGCGGCTCCTGCTGACGCGACTTCGCGGCCACATGTTTGCCAGGCTTGGCGCAGGGTCAGCCAGCGAGAAGGTCAAGGCAGCAAGCACGGCTGGTGAGCGTTTGGCGGGGCTCGGGCTCGCCGAGTTTGCGACGCAAGTCCGAGAGATTGTGGACGAGCTGGCACGGGTCGGAGCCGTGGACCGCGCAGCACATACGAAGTGGTGGGAGGCGGTTTCGGAGAAGGTGCAGCAAGAGGAGGCGGCAACCAGCACAACAGTGGCATGATTTAGAGGCATGAGCCTCATGGAAGCTTGACGTCTATAGCGAGAATCGGGTGTTTTTTCCTTTGGCAAGCGGAATCGGTCTGTGTTGCGGTACGGCAGGGCTCGTTGCGGAATCGGTTTCCATGGGCTGGGGCGTTTGGGCAGGGTTGCAGGGTTTCTATTTTTTCCCCGTCATAACGAACATGGGCATGCATGGGGCAAGGGAAGAGAGCAAACGATCATCATATCGTACGCGGCACAATCTATGGGAGACTGACAGTAGGAGGATGAGGAGGAGTTCAATGAGTCGAATCATGGACATGCTTTGGAGGTTAGGAAGTTGGGCAAGGCATGACACGATATGATGGATTGGCCAGGTGCGCGTCACCTTTATCAGCAGCGTTACTTTGCATTTGAATGAACAAGCCAGCGTTCTCCTGACGAGCTGTTCGCGTGGGATTATGGCAGCGATACGACTTGTCCCACTTGTGATGACGCTGAGTAGACTATACTACTAAGTGATGGGTCGTTCTCCTGGTGTTGACAAAACCCCGTGTGAAGTATGAGAATGCCGGTTTCACACTGTCCCGGAATAAGCTTGGCCTGAGCCCAGTTCGTCAGTGACTTCTCTTCACCAATCGAACGACACCACCCCAAGATCGACTACAGGCAGGGGGACTTTGGCCCTAGGGCGAGCATCACCATCAATTTGCATTCATCATTCCTCGGTTGAAGAACAGCAACCGGGCAACGTCCTATTTCTGCCAATGGCCCACGTCGGCCTTCTCAGCTCGAGGCTGGGAGCGGCTGGGTGGCTGTCAGGGGCAAGGCTCTCGTGCGTCTCTGCATCGGCATCCGCGTCCGCCATCACATTTTCGTGTGGAGCCGTCACGCACACGCGCTTTTCCCAGCAGTTTTCGTCGCTCGTCACTACTTGGGCGCCCGCGACACCGCGCTCGGCTCCGACCGGCTCGACGTTGCCATTACACCATGAGCTGGCGGCGGCGGCACGGCGGCACGGCGAGCAACTGAGGTACGTCCATGAAGCTGGGGCAGACTCGAATCCAGACCCCCCCAGAGAGACACAGGTACCCCTGGGATCCCAGCGTGACAGGCAGCACCTCAGGGAGAGCTAAAAGGCAGCTCTTTGGTGCTGCATGTCCACAGCTCGGCACATTGTGGAGCCCCGGCGGTCCACTGACGGTGGCATGGCGGAGGCTCTGCTCTGTAGCCATTGCTAAGCGCAGGGCACTTTGGGTACCTGGTAGGCACCTGGGCCTCGGAGCTCTCAGCTGCTGACGCTCCCCCTACCTGACCTCCCCAGAGGTAGGTAGGCTGTCGACCGACCCTAAGCAGCTTGATGCGCCCGCACTGGATCCCCGCCATTGGAGACCTTGCTACCCATCCATTCACCGGATTCATCTGAGGGCATCCCCTGCCCGCCCCCCTCTTGCGTGCCGAGTGGCCCGGTGAGAGAGCTATCTGCCTTTGATACCCTAGGTGTACCTTCGTGTGCAGTGCGGTGTGGGTCTCGGTCTCGATCGCCATCTGCCCCTCCTTCCATGCCCCTCCTTTTGGCTGGCGGAGTATTATGCTTCTGCCTTTTGGTTCTTGAGCTTTAGCTGGAAGAGATCTTGGAAACCTTCCTTTCCCAAACCTCACTACATCCTACCTTGCTCATACCTGCAATCGTGCTATCAGATTGCCTTGTCCCCACCTACTTTTCGCCTCCGTTGTCTCGAGCTACCGTTCGGAACTCGTCTTGCTGATCCCTGGTCACGTCACTCTAGACCTCCCACCCCGCCTCGTCGACACTGCTCTTCCGTTACCACATCGGAATTGGCATTTCACGCCAGTTCTTTCGGCAACATGGCGGACCGCGATGTCCTTCCCGATGCCATCAGGCCCTCGCATTATGTCGTCTCCCTGCGCGAGCTTGACTTCAAGAACTGGACCTACCAGGGAACCGTCAGGCAAGTTGCCAACCACCCGTTCCCGATCGCCCTCGCCATGATGACGCCTGACGCTAACCTCCGTGTAGCATTGACGTAGAGGTTGTCAAGCCCACCAAGGAGGTCGTCATCAACGCCCTCGAGCTCAAGCTGTCCAAGGCTTCCGTTACCGTCACCCAGAACAAGTCGACCGAATCGTACGAATCCGCCTCCATCTCCCTCGATGAGAAGAAGCAGCGCGCTGTCATCGCCTTTGACCAGGAGATTCCTGCCTCCCAGAAGGCTTCGGTCCTCATCCACTTTGAGGGTATCCTGAACAACGACATGGCCGGCTTCTACCGCAGCAAATACACCCCCGCCGTCACACCCGCTGCCTCGGTCCCCCGCGATGACGAGTGGCACTACATGCTGAGCACCCAGTTCGAGCCCTGCGATGCGCGTCGCGCCTTCCCCTGCTTCGACGAGCCCAACCTCAAGGCCACCTTTGACGTCGAGCTCGAGATCCCCGACGACCAGGTCGCTCTCAGCAACATGCCCGTCAAGGACACCAAGAAGACGCGCGATGGCTTCCACCTGGTCTCCTTTGAGACCAGCCCCAAGATGAGCACATACCTTCTCGCCTGGGCCATCGGCGACTTTGAGTACGTCGAGGCCTTTACCGAGCGCCGCTACAATGGCAAACAGCTGCCTGTCCGTGTCTACACCACGCGCGGTCTCAAGGAGCAGGGCCGCTGGGCTCTGTGGCACGCGCCCAGGATCATCGATTACTTCTCTGACATTTTCGGCATCGAGTACCCTCTGCCCAAGGCCGACCTGCTCGCCGTCCACGAGTTCTCCGCCGGCGCCATGGAGAACTGGGGTCTGGTCACCTACCGTACGACGGCTGTCCTCTACGACGAGAAGACGTCCGAGCCCCGCTACGCCAACCGCGTGGCCTATGTCGTCGCTCACGAGCTCGCCCACCAGTGGTTTGGCAACCTTGTCACCATGGACTGGTGGGACGAGCTGTGGCTGAACGAGGGCTTTGCCACCTGGGTTGGCTGGCTCGCAACTGATCACCTGCATCCCGAGTGGCAGGTCTGGCCGCAATTCATCAACGAGGGAATGGAGATGGCGTTCAAGCTCGACAGTATCCGTGCCAGCCACGCCATCCACGTACCCGTCAAGGACGCCCTCGACGTCAACCAGATCTTCGACCACATCAGCTACCTCAAGGGTTGCTCCGCCATCCGCATGCTCGCAAACCACCTCGCGTCGAGACCTTCCTCAGGTCGTGTCTACTACCTGAAGAAGCACCAGTACGTCAACG